AAAAAAAATCGTATGGAATAACGTCCCAATTAATCCGGGCCAGGATTTACGGCGCGGGGATTCTGATTTTCCCAGATACGCCATACCCGTCTCCCATTGGCCGTTACCAGCGAGGCGATTCACAGCACGGCGAGTCATCCCCGATAACCACCTGCTCAACACCACTTTCCGGCCAATGGTAATCTCACCGGATCCCATAACCAGCCGGACTTTAGTAGACTCCTTGCACTGGTAGATTGTCTCGGTATCTTCCCGATCATCCAGCAAGGTCGAGTCCCTATGAACTTCAATCTCTGTGACCGTCGTAATATTTCGGTCAGAAGCAGTTTCTTCAACCTCCACCCAGGGTTGCCTCGGATAGAACTCGCTAACTCGATAGTCTCCCCCTGGGATCTGTATGTCATCCAACAGGACGGGAAGGGACTGTGACTCCACTTCCGTAACATCGTCCAGGATTAACGACGAAGGTAGCGAAAATCGCCAAACCTTCACTTTTGAAAATTTTTGACGTTTCCTTAAACACGTCTCAACATTGGTTTCTTCCAGGAAGCTTTTTCGCTTCCGTTTTTTCCCGATCCAAATCCTGGATCTTCTTGGGGAGATACCCATCACAGGAACTCTAGCACCCTGCCATGTTCCTGTGGATCTCCGGTTTGGGTCATGAATCAACCCTTCTGAATGCATCAACGCATTCTTGTCCGTGAGGCTCACCACTCCTTGGTTATGCAGACTCACGTCGATCAACTTCAATATCATCGTGATAAGGATCCGGCCAACTCTCCGGCCAAACTCCAGGAGCGAGGGGAGAGTGATCCAGAGCATTTTTTTAGTCTCTCCCTTCTATTATCACTATTTTCATTCATAAAATGTTTTCCCCTTTGTTTTATTATAAAAGTTAAATTTTGTGTATATTATTTTTACATAACATGTAAGAGTGGATCAACCCATCTCGCTCCAACCCACAATAGCATTGAACGAGACATGAATGTTAAGATACCCACCCCACCTCACCCCACCCATTGCCATCACTAGTTGTACACGCATGATTTGGTTGTGAATCTCGTAACCTACATGATGAAAGTGTGGCTTCTTCTTAGTAAATCAGCGTGTGCTTTTCATCCAAAAAATGAAAAGGGCAGATCTAAGGTGTAAATAAAATTACACGCCCATGACTCATGATTGACCCAACATTTTATTCATTATCCTCCACAGACCACACAATGAACGTAGGATGGCAATTTCGACCTGATCCGTTTTACCCGACTTGTTTGGCCTGTTTTGGGGCGGGTCGTAGGCGGGACAGGGCGGGCATGGATACTCTCATCGACCCGACCTGCCCTGACCCGCCCCACTCTCGACCCGTTCTTGTCTAAATTACATGTAAGTTTAGTCAAACTACTTAGGATTTCCTTTTATTACATCATATTTTAGCTATAATAAAGTTGTAAATTAGTCAAAACATCAATTTATCCAATAATTTAACTACATTTATCATGATATTGTTTGTTTTGTCTTATAGTAAAAAGAACGCATATTTCTAATGTTTTTCATATAAATTGCATACCCATTGGGTCGACCTGCCCCGATCCGCGACCCGTGATAAATTACCCGACCTGAAATATCAAGAAACAAGTGGGCGGCTAACTTTGCCACCTGACGAGGAGCATTTTCTAAAGAGATCGATGAGAGAAAATTGCGGAAGGGAACATGGTCATGTAGATAAATAAACCAAAGTATCAAATCCCACATAGTGGAGTCCTGATCATCCACGTTTGTTCACTAGCATTACTAAATCGTGTTATGTTTAGTCGCTAGAAAAAAGTAATATCAATTTTGGTCACTCAATTTACTAAAACAAGTCACATTTAGTCACTCTCCAGTTAGCTTCCGGCCAACTCCGATCACTCGAATTACTTTTTTTTATATTAATGTCACTCGAATTACTGGAACATGTCACATTTAGTCACTCTTCGTTAGCCTCCGGTCCAAATCTATATATGGACTTGGATGGAAACTATCGAGAGAATGACTAAATGTGATGTTTCAACAATTTGAGTGACCAAAATTGATATTAATTTTTTTCTAGTGACTAAACATGACATGTTTTAATCTAAGTTACCAAATGTGACATTTACCCCTAATAGCTACACCATTGGTCTATTACCAGTTGGATTTCATCCCTCGCATCACCATTGTCAATAAACATCCACGACCTATAGCTACATCTCTGGAATGAGGCATCCAATGGATTAGGGGTGGGCATTCGGTTGGTTCGGTTTCAACCGAACCGAAATTATGAACATCGGGTCTCCGAATTCTCCCAAACCTCAAACCGAATTCGAACCGAATTATAATACGGTTCGATCGAGTTAAACCAAATTATAATTTGGTTCGGTTTGATTTGATTTTTAGCACAAAACCGAATTTATGAGGCTACTTGTATCTTCTCACTTTTAAATTATTTTTTACCCCTAATATACACAATAAATATGCAATTATATGCATCATTAATGATAAAATCAAACATTTCAACACATTAGTCATAAAATATTTCAAATATTTAAGTATAAAAACAACTACAAACATAAAAATCCACTATTTGGAGGTTGCAATTATAGTATTTCGGTTTTTTCGGTCGGAAATTCAGTTTGGTTGAAAGAACCCTGGTTTCCGAAATATCCATGTTTTCCTTCCGAATTTCGAACCGAATAGCATTATTTTGGTTCGGTTCGGTTTAATTCGGTTTCGGCTCGGTTCGGGTTTACCGATCCGTTTGCCCACCCCTACAATGGATCAATAGCACTTTTGCTATGTTTTAAAATACAACTTGAACTTATACTGTAACGTATATGTACAAATTGAAGTTATACCATAAGGGAATTTGACTTTTATGTTGTACAACTTTAGATTGTACTATAATTTTTTTTTATAAAAAAGTATAGGTACAACTATAGGTGTCAATCGGGCGGGTTCGGGCGGGTTCGCGCTGGGTTCAATCGGGTTCGGGTTCAAACGGGTTGCGGGTTAGTCGGGTTGCGGGTTTATCGGGTTCAGGTTCGGGTTCATCGGGTTCGGGTTCAAACGGGTTGCGGGTTAGTCGGGTTGCGGGTTCATCGGGTTCGATTCAATCGGGTTGCGGGCAAATCGGGTTGTGGTTCATCGGGTTTTGGGTCGGGCGGGTCGGGTTTCGGGTTGTTTGGGCTAGCGCATCAAGTAACTTAACTCATTACTCATTACCAACTTACACATTTTATTACAATAATTTAAAATATTTTCTCAACTTTTTAACCAATTTATTTCTACCTCGTATATATATACTTTATTTTTTTTGAAAAAAACTAGTCAAAATGTTAAATCATTTTGTATGACTTGCAAACTTGTTATGTAATTAATCATAATTGGTAAAGTATTATAGTTAATAGTAATGGAGATATCAATATTTGCAACCAAAAGACACCGTTAATTGTTTATTTGATATTTTAGTATTAATTAAGTATTAATTGGATTAAAGTATCTCGTTTAGTATAACCATGCAAATCTGGTATTTGGCGTGTGGTATTTGGCAAAAGCATAGTGATAAAAGGAGTTATTTCAAAATAACTCATTGCCCAAATAACTTTAGTAAACTGTTGCCAAACGAGTTATTTGTAAAATTGTTCGAATCATCATAAAAATTGAACCATTAAAGATTAGCTATAAAATTTAGTAAAATTATTGTGACTTCAATCATAACTTACTCAATAGCATATATCCTATACACTTAGCTTTACCCTCAATCAACAATATTAAGTTAGTATATGTTGTTGATTGTATACCCTAAACCATCAATACATTATACACTAACCACATAACCTATACCCTAATCATATGTCCTTGAGTTGTGATTTTGCTAGTATAGTTAATTTAAAAGTGAAATTCATACTTTGATTTTCAAAACATAGATAAAAATTGATATTTGCTAATTGTTATACCCTAACCATATATCCTATACTTTACACCACATACCTTGTACCCTAACCACGTACCATAAACATAAATTAAAAAGAGATCTCCTGCCGTTAAAGACTTCAAATGACTTCAAGTGAACATATGTTAATAAAAAACTTAGAACCGTCCAAACCATCAATATCTTATACCCTAACCATACACACCTAAACCATATGTACCTTATATCTTATACCCTAACCATATACTTTATATCCTAAACAACGAACTGTCAAAGATTACTTATCAAGTTTAGTATAAATTGTTGTAACTAATGGTTAATTTATTTATTAGCCCATAAAAAATTACATACATATATACATATTAGCCTTCAAAGGATATAAGAATAATTTTAACTAGTCATGCCCTCCATATAAAAGTTAAAGATTCATATTTCAAAAGCTAAAATTATGAAAAACCAAAAAATTGAAAACACCTAATTTGTTTCCTTCTTTCTTTTCACAAAAATACTAAAATTTCCCTCCTTCTTTCTCCTTCCATACATTAGAAAAACTCAATTTTCCCTTCTCTTTCTCTTCCATAAAATTGAAAGAACCAAATTACCCTCTTCTTTCCTTCTACAAAAAGTTGAAAACTCAAAAGTTTCCCTCCTTATTTCTCTTTCATAATCAAAAGAATCAAACTTTCCCACTTCTTTCTCTTCCCACATATCAAAACCACCAAAATTCCCAATTGTTTCTTTTCTAAAAAATTCAAAGAACCAAATTTCCCTCTTCTTTCTCTTCCCAAAAACTTGAATACACCAAAATTTCCCTCTTCTTTTAAAAACATCAAATTACCAAATACATTACTTTACTTTATTTATATTTAATTGATAATTTTATTGAATAGTTAATTTAACCAAAATTTTAATTTATATATTATATTAATATTGTCATGATCTCAAGTTACCTTCATGTTTTAATTTTTGTAATTATCTTAAAATACGTAATATCAAGTGAGTTTCATATTTTTTAAATTTCTTATACAAAATTAAAAAATAATTTTACTTAAGTTTAGAATGAAAAACTTTATTTTGAAAAACTATGTATTGTATATTTTTATAATTATTCAAGTGGATTAGATGAAATTTGGGTTGAGTCGGTCGGGTCACGGGTTAGTCAGGTTCGTGTCAATCGGGTTCGGGTTAATCGGGTTGCGGGTTAGTCGGGTTGCGGGTCAATCGGGTTCGGGTTAATCGGGTTGCGGGTTAGTCGGGTTGCGGGTTAATCGGGTTGCGGGTCAATCGGGTTGCGGGTCGGGCGGGTTACGGGTTGTTGACTTTTAGTCAATTCGGGTTGCGATCGGGTTGCGGGTCGGGTCGATCGGGCGGGTTAATCAGGTCGGGCTATGTTTTGACACCTATAGGTACAACCTAAAGTTGTACCATAAAGGCAAAAACTAAAGCACCAATGCTTTAAAACATTGTAAAATTCGATCAAACAAAAGAACGAATTGGATAAAAAAAATGATCATCCTGGCCCCAAAAACTGATGCCAAAAAGCTCTGCCCGGAATAAGACTGTTGGGCTGCTTCAATGTCTGCACCAGCTCAGCTACCTGCTGCTCGAGTCCGGATCTGGACTCCATGGCGTGCACACCACGGTCCCGGGAATGTCTGCCTCTGCTGCTTTGCCCCCAGGAATGATCTCTGGCAGCCAATGTATTAATCATCTGGTTCAGCTCGGGTGGAGTCTTAGTGAGAATATCCCCTCCTGGGCATAGAGACTCAATCACTCTCTGGCTATCTGGGGAGAGGGCACTGTAGAAGTTCCCCACTGTGAATGCATCACTAAAGCCATGGTGGGGACACTGCCAGAAATATCCCATGTACCGCTCCCATGCATCACGAAGTGACTCATCTGGCTCCTGGCGGAAGTGAGTGATCTCCCGCTGAATCTCTGTAGTCTTCGATGCCGGATAGTACCTGTGCACGAACTTGTCAGCCAGATCGTCCCAAGAGGTGATGGACAATGGAGGCTGGGTTTCCAACCACCTCTTAGCATTCCCCGCCAGAGAATGGGGGAAAAGATGAAGGCGGATTGCATCATCCGGGACACCATTAAGCTTGAACCCGTTCGTCAACTGCAGAAAACGGGACAGATGTACCCTGGCCTCCTCATCCTTCAAGCCATGGAACTGGATGGAAGATGTAATGAGCTGAATCCAGCATGGCTTGATCTCGAAGTTGTTTGCTGGGATAGGCGGGTAGAGAATGACCGGGCGGATGTCAGCAATCCGCGGAGTGTAGTAGTACTCCATGGTGGGACCCGGCTGCTGTGGATGATGAACTCCATGATCCTGGGGTATGGGGTTGTTCCCCAGGACCTGATTCACCGGGGGAACCTGCTGCGGATTCCCCTGGTGCTGATTGTAGTCTCCGTCCATCCCGTACTCTTCTTCAGAATCGCTACTCAGGTGGCCGTCTATGCGCTCTTCCGTAGCCAGTCTAGCTCGCTGTTGTCTCCTGAACTGGCGACAGGTGCGGTCAATCTCTGGATTCAACGGCAGTAAACCTCCCGACTGGCTACGGGTCATGCACTACCTGCACACACTCAAGCAAGCAAACCCGTGAAGGCACAAGTGGGACAAAGCAAACAAAGCAAAAAGAAAAAGGCTAAATTAACAGAAATCACTTTTCTTCAACAACCTAGCCGTCCCCGGCAACGGCGCCAAAAACTTGACTCGACTCTACTGTCACCCTAGGAATTAGCCAAGTGTAACCACTTCCTAAAGCGTAGTATAGCGGGTTAGGTTTATATGTCAACCCGGGTCCTAGATTTGATGACTACTCAGTGAATTCTTGTTATCTAGCAATGAAACTGGAATGCAAGTCTAAACTACCAAACAAACAAAGCAAGTAAACTGTTGTATTCAGGTTAAAGAGGTCACCCGGATATGGTTCCCCCTAGACTGCAGTTAAGCCGGATTGTAATTACCAAGTTCAGTTTCTATGAAAGTTATACTGCGGAAGGTTCTTAAACATCCTGAAGTCTCGACTAAAGGTCTTCAGACCCTCTCAATCTGAATCTCTAGCGGGCGACTAACCTCCACCGGAGTAGACAGATTGAGGCCCTAAGAACAAAACCTCCACTACCAGAGTAAATCCGGTACAGAATAGTGAGTTGGTTCCTCGACTAAAGTCACCAACTCCCTACCTTCAATCAAGGATACTCTATTAACCTAGGCAGATATTCTCATTCTAGGTTAAAGCAGAAACAACAGGAATTTGATCAGGATTCAAGTCATTCAATCATTCAAACCTCAATCGAATATAATCAATCATAGAATCAGTATTTGGGTTCATACAATCAAACCTAACATACAAATCTAGGGTTCTCCATACCCAGATGAATGGGAGAACTACTCCATAGAGAAAGAAGCAAAAGCAGAATCAGACGCGGAATTCATACTGTGAAGGATGGATTCCTGCTTCTGGATGTTGATCGGCACTTCTCCAAGCTCAAGCTGGCCTCCAATGGTGTTGAAGATCAATCTAGGGCACTTGGGAACTCTTGCTCGTCACTTTCTCTCTCTAGGAACTGATCTCTCTCTCTAAAACTCGAATCCCCCTTCTGTTTGGCTGAAAATCTGCTTAAAAGGGCATCAGCCAAAGCACGGTCGAGGGCACGGCCGTGTAATGCCTTAGCCCGCCCGTGCTTTGGCTAGGGTTAATTACACGGCCATGGTGTTGAAAGAAACACGGCCGTGCTTTGGCAGAACACGCCCGTGCTTTGTCTTGGCCTTGCCCGTGTAATCAGCTCAGCTCTCGGCATAAAAAGCACGGCCACAGAACACGGCCGTGTACTGTTTTAGGTGTGCCCGTGTTTTGGCTCCAGCTCACCGAAATGACTTCCGAACGCCCCGAAACTCACGCTTAGCCTTCCCTTTGACACCTGGGACCTGAAACATGACAAAATAGCACAACCCGGCGTAAAATATGCCAAAATACACGACCATGCCTTTCAAACGGATAAGAACTAGGGGCGCAAATATGTGTAATTACATCGTTATCAATTTAAAGGAAACACATCACCATGGAAGCTTAAACTTCTGAAATGCAGAACTCATGTTATCCACATTACTGGACTATAGTAATTGCTTAGCGACAGTATCAGAAGATTAAAGAATAAGCCACAATTTATGATAACCATATGAGCTGCAAGTACGATTACACATCACAAACAATATTTGCAGGCCTATGCTAGCATGTTGTCTGATTCTACAGATAAAAGAAAACGCATGCCTGATTCTACAGATAAAAGAAACTAACATTAGAGTATCCAACACCTATATCATTTCACCTGATAGAACTTACTCATAAATTCTCCTTCAGCGATATTAGATACGTGTTATAAGTCTGCGAAGCTAACCTCTGAAAAATTACACGTCTACCAATAAATAAAAGATGAAACCCCACGGGGTTGACTACTGAATGAAAACCAATTAACTCACCAGGACCTTAAGGCCAACATTGTTTATTAAAAAGCATGAAGAAGGCGAGTTTATTTTAGGATAACAAATGAAGTTCAAAATGTCTAATTGATGGATGAAGTTGGTAAGGAACTAAACTGCACTGAAATCCACTATGGCATCAGTTCATGCTAGTGTCCACGGTTAAGAACAGGTGAAGACCAGTTTGGTTTCAAAATAAAAAACAAACAAACAAAAATAGCTCATTTAATTAAAATCTATCTGCAAGGTTCCTACGCTTGGATATGCAACAAATTTTCGTAAATTGGGATATTAAACAAACAGAATTGGCCAATGAAAAGCCTCAAGACAAGAACAACAGTGTGATGAAACAGACAGACTAAAACTGACCTGAGAAGATGACACAATTGTATGCAGGCTTGGGAATAGCACAGGTATTAAAGTTGTGCCCTGTATCATCCGGATCGCCAGAAAGAAGAGCCAAGCATCTTAGAGCTCCTTGCACTGCAAATGGGAATACAACTTAGAACTGTAGTATAATCCTCAAACACCACCGAAACAATAAAACAAGCATATGATTAAGAATGTAAACAACTTATAACCTACAGGAATTCACATTCTTGCAAGAGAACCTTTTTTTTTTTTTTTACAAAGATGAACTCATTTTATTAATAACCGAAGAAAGGAAAGACCAAGGTGGATTACTTTCGCAATAGATGATTTGGTAGCCTTCGATAGACATTATGATGTCCCTTTTTTTGTAGCCAAGACACTTGAGAAACAATCAAGACCTACCACAAACAAGTAAGCAACATTCAACCGGACTTCACATTCTAGTAATTGGCACAAGGGATCTCTAAGATCAGTCTTCATAAACTTCAATGTGATATACTACCTTCAGAAGAGAAACATGGAAAACCATTTTGTAACCTGAAAGTTCTACATGTCAGGATAGTAAACTGAACTGACAATGGCAAATGCCATCTTCAGATCATCATTTAACCATTACAGAGGCCTTCTACAATTTAACCTAAGCTGAGTGCTAGGAGGACCATTTGTCTAGTTTTTCCATATTTATTTTCTGTCAACGTTTCAGGTCTCACTTTTTTCTCACAGATCATAGTTCAGGTAGCATTGTATTTTCATGCAATTCTTGTGTATTATATGGTCCAAGAAATCAATCAACTTCGATATTATTTTAACGTGAAATAAACGAATATTTTATTTTTCACTTATCATAATAGCTAGAACTTATTCAATTAAACTAGAAAAAACTTCAACAGTGAGAATCAACGGAATTGCATATTGTGTTGATCTAATATTGTAGAGTTGAACTTAACAACTCAGTTGTTTAAGAGATAAATCGATAGCAAATATTTTCTTTCGTGCCACAATCACTAATCAATGCAAAAGAAAATTTACACACACACAAAAATTACACAATTATAACTTAGGATAAAATAATAAAGATTATTACACATGTATCATCTATTTTATGTTTACATGGAAAAACAATTATAGAGGTTCCTAGGAAACACATAAACACCTCATCCAAAACAAAAACAAAAATATATATAGGGGACTAATTATCTACTCCCATTTTGTCCTAAATTGATGAACATGCTTAAACTCATAACTCATCAGAAAACTACCATCCATTCTCCTCAACACAAATCTCTCAACCAACACAAAATACCCAAACCTCTTCCAATTGTTGATTCCACCACCACCTCCTCCAAACTCCTCAACTTTCTTCACCCTATTCTTCCCACCCTCACCAATTCTCCACCCAACTCTTTCCACCTCCCATTTCATTCTCTCAACAATCACCTTGCTCAACCCAACCCTCAACCCTTCCTCCCATTCATCATTGTCCAATCCCACCCTTCTAAACCAAATTACTCCATCATTTTCTCCAACCATATGCCCCACAACATCCCTTTCACCAACTCTCACGGATTCGGTCTCGACCAAAACATCTATATTCACGAACGAGTTAGCATTTCCTTCGACGCCGTTGTTGCATGTTAAAATCGGCTCCCACTGCTGCTCCAGCGTCACCTCGTAGAATCTCGAATGGTTGACTTGATCCCGAGCATCCATTCTCGATTCCTTGACGAACAAGAAAGGGCAGTACCATTTCCCTACCACCCTAGGCACTGAAACACGATCACCTTTCTCGTCGGATAGCACAACGCTGAAATCAGGAAGGCGAGCACGAAGATCTGAATCCACTCCCAGAGCTTCCTCAAGCTCGAAATCCCGAGAATTCGAAGTATGGAGCGTCCAGCCGTCTCTTCTCAAAAAAAGAGGGGGAAATCCACCTCCAGCTACAGATTTGGCACTGTAACCCGAACCTCCATACCAGTAATCACGTCGAGAGATCTCGAATTGCTGGTAAATATCCTCCCCATGCGGCTCGAACGGCTCCGGCTTTCGATCCGAGATACAGTTGCAGAAGCAGCAAGTTGTCATCTCCTCCTCTGTCGAGTTACTATACGCTTCGCTGAATCAAGGAACCAATTTGTTAGATTAGGACTACAACAGCATACTTTACCTGTAAACATTTACAAACTAGTCCTCACTCTTTCTATTAATGTACATATTAACCCCTCCTCTGTTTTTTACCCTTTGCTATCTGTCCTGCAGGGAAAAAAAAAAAAAAACAGAGCATTTTACTTACCCTTTATGCTTCCCATCCCGCTTGATCACGTAGTAACGATTAGCAGCGAGCGGGTGATTGATTGCAGGGATGAAGACGACGCGGTGGGTTTCGACGTGCTGGTGCTCTCCACTTTGCTGGACGTATCGAACTTGGAGGTTCTTGTTCTGAGGGAAAGGCAGGTCCCTGACTCTGCTGCTGTTCACCAGTCCGAAGCAGCTCGTCGGCTGAGCTTCTTCATCTTGGATGATTAGCACGCCGGAATTCGGGCCTTCTGGAGGCGGCGACGAAGCCGCTGAAGGGTCCCTTCTGTAGAGAGAAAGAGGACGAGTCACGTACATGGTTTTCTTTCCTTCTTTTGGTGGTGATGGTGGTGAGATTATAGACCACCAATGATCACAATGTTGTTGGAGTTACTTGTTATACTTGTATATATATATTCAGAAGTCTTGATGACTACTGGCGAGAGAAGGGTAAACGCAATTGGAGACGAGTTTCCAAGAAATCTCTGTGCTTAGCTTGTTCCCATGTGATTTGTCCTCTGTTTTACCAATCAATGGCTTTCGTGTTTGGGGGAAGGTTCATCGTCTTGATGAAGTCAAGTCAATGGCAGATTACGGGTGCTGACTGATTAACATATTGATAACGAAGGTTCAGGGCATTTTCGTTGGAAAGATTACTTCTTTTTTTTCGTTGAATAAAAGAAAGATTACTTCTTTGAGTGCTTAAGTCGATGATTATATTAATATAAGTATGGTTGGGTCATGGGTGTCGTGTTTTTTTTTATCGGAAACCTGTTTAAGCTTTATTAAGCAGCATTTGCGGTTATATCGTCCAGCATCAACTGATCAATGAGAAAAGTCGGTGGTCGATCCAGCTAAATAACACTCTCATCCCATGTAGTTTCCGTATGTGCCATTATGTGAGCAGCCTTGTTTGCTTCCCGATATATAAACTTCCAGCCTTTACCATCCATCTTTGTAAGCTTTCGTCGAACGCTTCTACACAGAACTCCTTCCTCCGTTTGCACCTGATTCGCCTTGTCCATCATTTGCATTAGTACTTGACTGTCAGACTCAAGAATCGGTCTTTGAATTTGCATTTGCCATGCCAGCTGCACTCCAAAGTCAGCAACACTAGCCTCCGCCCTTAATGCAGTCCAACTTCCTCGTATCTTCTTAGCCCCTGCAAGAATGAAACGTCCCTCGCTGTCCCTGATCACAACCCCGAGGCATGCTCCTCCCGCCGGTAAGATTCCAGCATATGTAGCTATCGAGACAGAACCATCGCTCGACCTTTTCCATAGCTTTGGCCCTCTAGCACTTTGATCCTCTCTAGCCACATGTTCCTGTCCTTGTTGTTGTTTATAGGCCTCGAGATAGCTGACCGCCCTCGTCACAATTTCCTCTTCCGGTGTCTTTTGCCCATTAAAAAGTTGAGCATTTCTCTCTCTCCATAGGAACCACATAAGTGTACACCAGTCCTCAAGCAAGCCTGTATCCCCCTTATCCATCACTTGCTTTACCCAATCCAAACAATCATCATTGCTTCGAGCTTCGAAGCAAGAGGAAAGTGGGGTCGACTCCAAATTCTGGACGTCCAACTACATTCAGCAAAGAAATGGATTTGGGACTCTCGGAGATTGCAAAACGGACACTTGTCACTCCATCTAGCACTCTTTTCACTAACGCGATCACCTGTTGGGAGAGCATGTCTCATGAAACGTCACATAAATTGTTTAATCTTTGGCGGCAGTGTCATTCCCCACATGCATTTCCAAGTACTCTCGTCCCCATGCATGGCTAGCCCTTTTTTCCTTCACGAACTCTTTCAACCACTGCTTGTAGCCTTCCTTTACCACATAATCACCATCATGGCTCCAATTCCAAATCAACATATCTATTTCCCCATGTCCCTTAAGTGGAATCTGCCTTATCGCTTCAACAGTAGCAGCCGAAAAGCAACTCTCCAGAAGGGCCACATTCCATTTTTCTGTTTCAAGTTCAATCAGCTCCCTAACACATGAGTCTACTGGCAAACCCATCGGCACTGACGGAACATACATTTGAGGCAGCGAAGGGATCCATTTGTCCCCCCAAATCTTCACGTTAAGTCCGTTGCCCACTCGCCACCGTATTCCACTACACAAGAACTCCTGTGCGCTTATAAGCGATCGCCAAATGAAGCTCGGCCTATACCCACATCTCGCATCTAGTACAGAACTGTGCTTATGATACTTTGCCTTGATAATCTGCGCGCTAAGTGAGTCTGGTCGTTGATGAAGTCGCCACAATTGCTTAGCAAGTAGAACTGTGTTAAAGCCTCGTAAATCGCGAAAACCCATCCCGCCCTCGCTTTTCGATTGCACTAGTTCTTCTCTGCTGATCCAGTGTGCACGTCGCTCCGAATTTCTTTGCCCCCACCAGAAATTAATGATCATACTATTTATCTCATCCATTACTCCTTCCGGGACACGGAAAACAGACATAGAGTATGTCAGCTGTGCTTGCGACACCTCCTTTATCATTACCTCCCTTGCCGCTGCCGACATGGTTTGTTCTTTCCAACCCTTTAACTTCTTACGAATTCGCTCCTTCAGGGATACAAACAACTCTTTCTTCGATCTGCCAGCTTCTGTTGCAAGCCCAAGGTACTTGTCATGCTTGTCAACAATTTTCATTCCCAAGCTACCTCCCACAACCAGTCGCCCATGAGGTTTGACGTTCCAGCTAAAAGATACCTCTGACTTTTGAAAGTTGACCAATTGGCCAGACTCTCGTTCATAGTCGTTTAGGATCTTCTTCAGCTGTGAACTCTCCGCGCATTTGCCCTGAAAAAGAAAATACTATCATCAGCTAAAAACATATGGGACACCACAGGGGCGCCCCGGATAGGTTGGAATCCGTGATAGCTCCCCTCCGCCACTGCTTTTTCAGTATATGATGATAGTCCTTCAGCCACAAGCAGGAATAAATAAGGCGACAGCGGGTCCCCTTGACGAAGTCCTCTCCCTGGCCTGAATATTTTTGACCGATGACCATTCACTAAAACCGAATAAGAAACTGATTGCACACACGTCATAATCAGGTCCACCCACCGGTCAGCAAAACCCATTTTTATCATTATTCCTTTCAGAAAACGCCATTCTACTCGATCGTACGCCTTTGCCATATCAATCTTTGCTACTGCATAGATGGGTGTCGTGTTTGACCCTGGGCATCTTTTGCCACCGTAAAAAAATTGACAAAATGTTGTTTGAACTCAAATCTACGAGAGATTTTGATATGATTTTAGCCTGTGTTGTCGACAAAATATATAAGGAACTGGAGTAAATTGGGTATAATTTCAAGTTAGATAAACTGTATAGATCTAAATTGTTAAAACATATTAAGTTCACATTAGATTATTGATTAAAAATAAAATAAAAAATAGTGACTACCGGCTAGCCCGTAGACTTCATTATTTCCCGTCTAATTGGGCTGGGCGGATGGTAATGGAAGGTTTTTACCATGATATAAGAATCGAATTGGATCAACGGTCGGCCCAGTAGAACCGTCAAACCAGTTATGATAGCGGTTTGATTCATTGCTTGAACGATTATTGATCGATCAAATGATTTTTCACGGTTCAACATAAAATCAGATGAACCAACACGGTTTAACTTATTTAACAAAAAAATGCTTTAACATAAACTAAGACCATCAAATCATTTTTATTAATTTTATATATGCTTCCTCAACCTTATTGTCGACTTTACGTTGTCTACTACCGACTAGAACCGTAAATTTTAATTTGAATTAAAAAATACAATTTCTTTGTGAGATGGTTGGAATGATTTATTAGATATTTTGGTGATGATATGCATTTGAACTTGTTTATGACCAATGACAATTTCATTCTTAAATTAGTGTAGTGTACAAGTCTTATATGTTATACATCATGAACGGTTCTATCAACGGTTCACCAACGGTTTTGTAACGGTTAACTATTGAACCCTAAACCACTAATTTTTCCTATTCAGCCTCCGGTCTGGAAAATAGAGGTTTTTACTCTGTCTTTTTGTGGAAATTTTTTTTGTGCCGAAACGGGGGAGCAGAGCAGGTCAGTAGTCATAAGTAACCCGTCCACATCAGAGAGACATCATCATCTTTCTCTCTCGTGAAAAGCATTTTCTCTTTTCCCTCTTAATTTTTAACGGACGATTTCTCTCACGTTTTAAGTCGTAATTTAAATTTTTTGCACAGATAAATCAGATTAGTTGTGCTATTTAAAATGATATCCATTTTGATATTTTTTTAGAATAAAAAAATTGAGGTTTTTTTACCAGTCAATACCATATAGTATTAAATAAGAGCATATCATATGGTAAGAAAGCGTACCATGATGGTATGAATACCAAGACTGTAGGAAGGTTGAATACATGATAATAAGAGTATACTAACTGACATTTACGATTTTCATCATTATTTACCACAAGTTACCACCCCCCATACCCAGGGGCTGAGGGAGAGTGTTAAAGGGTGGGTCCCTAGACCCACCCTAGCTCGGGAGCAAAAATGTTAAATTAGGTATAATAGTTAATTCGGTATGAAAAATAACACGCATTCAATGAGAATCGTTGAACTTTCAGATGTTTGATTTATAAGTTGTGTATTGGCATGCTCAATGTTTTTATAACGAGCTTTGTACAAATAGCAATGGTGCATATGATCTGCCAAAAATTGAAGATGTACATATTCAATATCTACCACATATTTCCACCAAATCATAACTAGTTTGTAAAAATAATTTTATTTACATTAGGGGTAGGGAGAGTGAAATTAGTATAATAGTTCATTGAGAATGAAATTTAGCCATTTAAGGCATTTCTAATTGAAAATTGTTGACCAAGAGATCATGTGTTCGAATCTTAACGACCCCATTTGTTCAGCACGTGATATTCAAATTTGCAAAAATTTTAACCACCTATAAACGATTTTTGTTAGTAGGAAAGTGTTAGTAAATACTAAATAATTTAAGATCCATAATTAAATCTTTCCCAACAAATCGAGTTGTTGATACTAAACGGTGTTGATAAATAACACCATTCAAAAGCAAATATCTAACTAAATTATGAATGATTTTTGGTATTTAATTATGAATAATTTTTCGATACATATAGATTGATATTTTTTTATAGTCATATATTTAATTTAACAAATTTTTTTAAATAAATAATTATATCATGAATGATTTAAATTCTAATAAAATTATTTTATCATATATATTTTTTTCTAAATGAACTCACCCTCCACAAAATCTTGGCTACACCCCTGCCCATACCAGGGTGGTAAATAGGGGTGTACATGGGTCGTGTAGTACGGGTTTAGCCATTTTAATCACCTGACTCATTCATTATGGTTTAGA